TGCCCTCCGAACAAGAGGTTGGTTGGATTTGGGTCTTGTGTTTTGGGATTAGATTTTCCAGAGACGACGACGTGTTGAATTATGGAGCCCATGGCAATTAGGGCTTTTATTTCGAATCGCGAAGATTATGCTTATACGGTTCTGGTAGTCTTACATACGTTTCAACGGTTGCTGGGTGCTTATTTTTCCTTTGTAGGCTCATAAGGCTTTGGTGGTGGGTAAGGATGAGGTGAAAAGACACGCATCGCCCCCGAGAAGAGACGATGATCGCGAAGGACATTATGTATTCAACCTCGGCGAGAATCTCACTCCGAGATGTGAGTGTTTTTTTGTTTGTTCTAACCGGTTTTCATTTTGAATTGGCTTCTGGTTATACCATGATTGTTTGGGTATGGAGTGTGTTAAATCGCGCCCGCATTGGTGGTATTTTCTTCTTATCAGGCTAGGGTTTCACAGTAAATCATAAATAAAATAAAGCTAGTATTTTGTGACTTAACATCACTGGAGCCTTCCTTTTATCTCGTTTGCTTGCGAGAAAGCAAGCTATAGGGAAATAATAAAATTCTTGAAACTTTCTGAGATAACCTCTTTTGGTTGTTGCCACCAGGTGTAAGCTGTTACGACATTCTTTTATTATATCGTTAGTTCTTTATGACGTGCATATTGATCTTGTAGCATAGATCTCTCTTCAACTTCCAGCATGGGTTGAGACTCTTCTTGTGGATTTCATGTTATCATTGAAATCTATTTTTAGCAGGGAAAAGTTCTATATAAGTTTTAAGTTTAAAAAATTCGGGAGTTGAATTCACCTAGGTTTCTTTGCCATGTTGCTGGCGCATGATAAACTCCATATGAGACCCTTTTTTTGGGTGTTTCTGAACAACGATTCCCTTATTTTTTTCTAAATACACAAATGCGATAAATCAACGAGAAGTTCGTATCTTATTAAAATAAAAAAAAACCATATGGGATAACTATACAACATTCCTATGCATTTTATGTCCTCTCTGATTTTTGTAATCTACTTTCAACACGCCATTTTTCAGATTTTCCATTCCTTTAATTGTTATTAGGTTTTCTGGTCATTCTTTTATTCTTTTATTTTTTGGTTTTTTGATTTGTTATTACTTGTATCTTAATGGGTGATCGGTGACATGCAGATAAAATCCTCAGCAAGATGGGTGAAGGTTAGCCGTCAAGATCCCTGCTGTCTGCAAGATTTTATGTTTTTGTGATTCTGCTCGAGTCCACTTAGCAAATTGCTAGTGCTGTAGGCACATTTGGTCGAGTTTTGGAATGCTGGGACCGTCAAACTCGAGAATATGTGGCCATTAAGGTAGTTCGAAGCATACGAAAATACCGCGATGCAGCCATGGTTGAGGTGGATATACTTAAACATCTTGCTCAGAATGACAAAGGCAGCTTACGGTATGTATCTATTTCATTATGTTTCGTTCTGGTCTTCAATTCATCATATAACATAATCTAACTCTGCTTTGCAACATGTTCCTCATGCAGTTGTGTGCAGATTAGAAATTGGTTTGACTACCGCAATCACATATGTATAGTAAGTATTTCAGTTTATTTTCATTGATTTTTATCTCTCCTCTCCCTCTCTTGATATTTAAAATGTTGTTTTTTGTAATTCTTTTGATGTCATATGTTCTGGTAACTGAAGTCTGAAGTTAATCTCTTTCGATTATCAAAATGGTGGTGGTATTTCTTTTGCTATTGGACAAACGTTATTGTCAATTATTGTGTACATGCATTCTTCATGCATTTACAAGTTCTTTCGTACATGTGGGCTTATTCATAGAATTGGGAAATTAACACAAACCTTCCTTTGAATGCATTTGAATGGTTTGATCAGGTGTTTGAGAAGCTTGGACCAAGCTTATTTGATTTTCTAAAGAGAAATAAATACTGCCCATTCCCTGTGGACCTTGTTCGAGAGTTTGGACGACAGCTTTTGGAATCTGTAGCATGTCTGTGGATTTATTTTTGACCTCTATATCATCTCTCTGGTTTTCATTTATCTCGTTTTTTCCTAAAAAGCTCCAAAACCATTTTCTTTGCTCTTTCCTCTTTTCAGGGGTGGAAAAGTGTCTTATCATTCCAATCTTCTTTGTTTAACTTGTTTATTTTGCTTCATCATATCTGGCAGATATGCATGATTTACACTTAATCCACACAGACCTGAAGCCAGAAAATATACTTCTTGTGTCTTCTGAATATATAAAGCTTCCTGGCTGTAAGGTATTTAGACATTTCAAATCTGAGAATTTGGGTGAAAACCTAAATATATCTTAAGAACAATGCTTGAAATGATACAGAAGGTTTCGTCGGATGAAACGCAATTCAGGTGCTTGCCCAAGTCTAGTGCAATTAAGCTGATTGATTTTGGTAGTACTGCCTTTGATAATGAGAATCATAGCTCCATTGTTTCTACAAGGCATTACAGAGCCCCTGAGATTATACTAGGTAACTAGTTATGTGGTTGGCTAGTGAAATATGTGTTTGTGTATGGTTTCTTCCTCTCTATCCTTCTCTGATTCCAAACTGAGAAACCTTCGCTGTGGAAACTTTATCCTAAATTTAAATTTATTTATGTTGTTGCTTAGAATAAAGCAGTGTCTGGAGGAGAGGGAGATGAAGCCCAGTAGTAGCAATAGGGCAGATGACAAAATCTCTGTCACAACAATTTATTTATAAATTTACCTTTTAAAATGTGATTTATGGAGCATCCTTGATCCTCCTTATACGGAAGCTAGTTTTTCTCCTATATGTTTGAATAAATTTGACTTCTTTTCTTCGTTACTAAAATTTTTACATCCATTTGGCACAACTCCTATAATCAAAAGCATATCGTGTCTCTGCTCTTCCAACAATTCATACATATGTACGCAGGGCAGAAATGTTTTAAGCTTTTCATATGTCTTCATCACTTTAAAAGAATGAGTTGAATGTGTTTAATATATGATGGAAGCTCCACTTTTGTAACATTTGGGTAGGCAAAATTAATTTTGAGGTTAGAGTGACATTTATGGCCGTAGTCTCCAGAGCAACCATGTTTGCTGCTTGACCCTGTCTTAAACACTTCCAACTCACGGGGGGCCTTATCTTGCAACTTTATCATCAGATAGGCATGAAAGTAATATGACTTTATTGCATATCCCACTTTACTAGATTATATGATCTTTGATTACTGCACTTAGAATCTCTGCAAGGAAATGTCAACAATATTAGATATTGCATCGCAAATGCCTCCTACATATTATACATGTCGTCTTCTCACCTACATTGATAAATGTTTTGCAGGTCTTGGGTGGAGTTATCCATGCGATTTGTGGAGTATTGGTTGCATACTTGTTGAACTGTGCTCGGTTAGTATTTGTTGAACATAACTCCTGTTTGATTATGGAATTTAATATTGGTAAATTGTTAAATTTTGAAATCCTGTAGGGCAAAGCACTGTTCCAGACCCATGAGAACTTGGAGCATTTGGCAATGATGGAGAGGGTGTTAGGACCTCTGCCAGGGCACATGATTCAGAGTGCCGAGTACTGAAACATCCAGATTTCTCTCCATTTATTTCCCCCGTAGGGTTTATAATTTGACTGGTTTTCTATCTGCTTCATGTAGCCAAAACGCTGAAAAATATTTCAAACGAGGGTCACGTCTAAATTGGCCCGAAGGAGCAGTTTCAAGAGAAAGCATTAGAGCTGTGAAGAAGCTTGATCGTTTGAAGGTCTTTATATATTATTATGCTTCTTTTAGTTTTATATGCTAATAGTTCTATAGAAATTATTTACTAACTTGCATAAAATGGTTATCTTTTTGTCTTTAGGATATGGTTTCACAACATCTGGGTTTCTCCAGGTCTCTCTTGACTGATCTGTTGTACGATTTACTGAAATATGACCCTTCAGAACGTCCGACCGCCCGTCAAGCCCTTAACCATCCCTTCTTTAAGAGTATAGCTTGAGAAGGAACACTTCCATGCTAAGTTACATTTGCAATACAAGTTCGTCTGCAGAATGCTTCCTTCTTTACTAGGGGAAAAAATTAGATTGATATCGAGATTGCTAGTGCAGACAATGATTTTACTTGTATTTGTTGAAGTATGGCTATTAATGAAAAGCATGTCAATATTGTCAGCAAATTTTTTGCTAGAACTTTTTTTTACGCAGTTGTTTATTAATTTTTCAATAGTGCTAGTACCAAAAATATTCTATTCCAGTTTAGAAGTGCACAAATATCTAACTACTTGATCAATACTCTCTAAAAACAGTGTTTATATAATCTTTTAGGAAAGTATTTATAACTATAAGTTGTTGGAATTAGAAAGACATTTTTGAGTGACCAAAATGAAATGTATTCTACATCTGCAGATACGGAATGTGTCAAAATAATGCAGCTATCAGATTTATACACACTCATATCTTAAATTCTTGTTCATCTGAGAATTCATGTCAATTGTCTGAGCTATAAATCACATTCCATAATAGAAAATGAATCATCTTGTAGCTGCACATATAGTGCTTGAGATAATTACTGAAGGAAACAGATGTTATTTCATGGAATAGCCTTTGGGGATTTGTTCTAATTGGGCAGATGAGAAAGGCCAGGGCCTCATTCATGGTGAATTGCCTTGTAAAACCATTTTGCCAGTCATCATTTCATGAAAATTCAAAGCCATTTATGAAAGATCAAAGATGTATTCTGAATGTCTGAAGCACTTACAGTGCATCATAGTTTACTGCAGTAGAAAAATAAGGTCAATATTTGTGAGATGTGATCTATGTTTTAGAAGGTGATCCTTTTTCACCTGATCGAAGACTTTGGAGTTAAAAAAAAAGGAAAGAAGTAAATTTACTCCCTATTGAAGTTGAAACTCCTCAAATGTTGTGAATCTATTTATCGTAAATCATAAATCATCGTAGATATAACATAAATTCTTATATTTTTATTCAACAGTTGAACAAGATTGGTTAAATATCCCAGAGTTAGAACCATTTGATAGCAATTATGACTAACTCACGGCTCTATTGCCTGGAGACACATATTCAAGGGAGGGCTAGGCAAAATTCACCCCAACTAACCAAGCAAGAGCTTAGCTCGACACTCCCTTGGTCGCAGGGATGCTACCAACGTATAATTCGCTGGCTGGCAGGTATGAATTGTCTATATTGACGAGACAGAAAGTTACTCTTATGAAAGATAGGATCTATTCTTTACAAAGGTACACAACTTTTACTTGAAACTCGATAACAACTCAAAATAAGTACTAATTTAAGTACTAACTTAAACTTTGAGATGTACGCGGCAGAACACCACGGGTGCAATATTCTATTTGCAAGTCACCACCTTAACTGACTAGGTGTCCAACTCAAATCTGAAGAATCTCACATCAACCATAGCAAAATGGCTTTTTGGTTCCATGCAAAAGGGTTATCAAACCAAGATTTAAAAAGCACAATTGACACATCAAATTTACAAAATTTTCAGAACAAGTGTGAAACTGAGAGAAAAAAAAGAAAAGAAACGAAACAACGAGACATTAACACTGGATCTAAAGCTGCTGCACAAGCGAGAAAAAAAAGAAAAGAAACGAAACAATGAGACATTAACACTGGATCTAAAGCTGCTGCACAAACGAAAGTCCCGATACGACGATTACTGCAAACACACTGCAGTCCATGAAAATTGCTCCCATTGCCTTCTGAACCAATAAACCTGCCTCTAAAACCTTACCAATTTGTTCAATTGAACTTTGTCCTACAAGTGGAGTTACTTGACCATCTCCTCTATGAGGCCCTCTAAAACCCTTCTTTTTGGTGAAAAGAAGCCTACCAAGTACAACTGTTACATTAGTGAGCAAGAGAAGATAGAGGGGTCTAGATCCAAAACCGATTCTCGTAAGACTCTGGCCTAAGAAAGGAAATCCTACATATGATGCAACTACTAGAAAGGCTATAGTAGCCGAAAAGCAAAGGCGGGTCATCTCAGATTCAGAAATGGCTGAACTTAATTCATTTAAAGAGAAGGAAGTGACGGGTGGCAATTTTGGATTGTAGCATTGATCTCTGCCCAATGTAGAAAGAGATGAATTTTGACCTTCAGATCGGGCGAGACGGGGCGGTGCTTTTCCAACATCTTCTTGAGTAGAAGCTACTGCAGTTTCTACCGCCTTATGTTTGCTCGAAAGAGGAGCCGAACTGGTTCCATGATATGCAGAAGACCTAGCATCGATCTGAGGATCCTTATGTTGCAATGTAGAACCTACCAGCTTGCCCTTTTCATCAGAAACTGCACAAGGAGCGTGAAATGTGAGCAAAACAATAATTTTAATTTCCATTTGAGTAACACAAAAAAAAAAAAAAAAAGAAGACCTACAGAAAAATTCTGTAAGGTGGAGGAGAAATGAATTCAATGCTGAAAATCCTCATGCTAATCAGGTAATTTTGCAAAGTAAGACTGTGAGGAGGCCAACAAGGGTAGATTGATACACTACAATGGTTTCGAATAGTAGGTTTCTCTAGTACTGAACTTTTTTCCATGGAAATAACTCAATTTCAATGCAACTTCTTCAAAATACATGGTTTCAAATAGCGATCTATGCCATTTCAATTCCAATGCTACTTTTTCTGTATTCAACTTTTCTAAATAATTTATACCATGACAACCTTCTGTTGGGGTAAATATAACAGCACAAATTGAATTGCAGGTCAAGGGCTCTAAACCTTTTTAGCAACAATTCTTCTACACAAATTTTAGCTTAGAATTTGACTTGTTACGTTTACTTGGAATCATTGCAATAGAAAGACGAGACTTTGGAACCTAGATTACCCAAGTTGGCGCACGTCAGACCCACATTCTTACCTTATTCACCGTCATTAATTTTTTTTAATTAAAAATATAACCAGCAAATTATGAATTGCTTAAATAAAATTCCTAAACCTACCACTAATTTAGCTTTTCATTACACCATTCGGTAAGGAAAGATAAAGCAGAAAAGAGGAAACACAATCGCATTTTCTCGCAACAAAACTCCTCCAGAAAACAGATTTTCAGTCAAATCACGCGAAGTCCAGAAAGCAACAAAGAAAAGAAGAAGAATACCGGTGTGTTGATCGGAAATACGAGGTTGGAGATCCTGACGATCAGAAATCAACGGCTGGGTTGATGAATCCTCAGTTCCAGCGTAAGGCGAGGGAGAGGGAGAGGGAGAGGGAAGGGACTGGATCTGACCGGTGATTAGGGCCAAACGGTCGGAACCTCGCTCCAGGATCCGCCGGCGTCTAGATTCTCTGGGGTTCGCCGCCATAAAAAAATTCCTTCAGAATCGTCGGAACCGGGTCGGTTTCCGATTACTTCTGCAAGATTTAAGATTATCTGAGTCCTCCGTTGTTTCAATTTCCAGGCGTAAAAAAAGAAAGGAAGGAGGAGGTTAGAAATCGACCACGTGTTGATCACGTGATAAAGGTTAGGAAAAAAGAATTTCGTATCGTATCTATGGAATATGGATCATTCAGGAGGGACGGGTCGGGACGAATATTCTAAAGCGAGAGTCGTTAATGGGCCTTTTGAGATACATGTTGGGCCAAAAATTGGCCTCTAATTGATTATTGGGCCTTTTGAAATACGTGTTGGGCCGAATTAGAACATAAATTTTTTATTTTTTATTTATTTGTTTTTTAGAAAAACTCAGAATACTTAGTAGAAATGGACGACAAGATAATATATAGTTCGTTAAAATACTATTTTGGTCTTTGTACTTTTAGCCTCGGTTTATTTTAGTCCATCTACTTTTAAAATGTTGATTTTGGTTCCTATATTTTTAACTTTGATTCCTTTTAGTCCCTGTACTTTGAAAATGTTCATTTTGGTCCATGTACTTTGAAAATGTTCATTTTGGTCCCTGTACTTTTAAAAGGTGATAATTTTAGTCATTCATCGTATTTTAACACAAATTTTACACCCAACGAAAACAATTTAGTAAAAATTAATGTTTACATTGTAAGAAATATATTGATTATAATGTGGTGTTGAAATTGTGATAGAAAAATAAGATTTAAAATAAAATGAAATGACCAAAATGGTCACTGTATAGAAKTAGGAAGTAATTTTCAAAATACAGGGACCAAAATGAACCAAATGGACCAAAACCAACATTTTAAAAGTATAAGGATTAAAATGAACCAGATGATCAAACTAGTATTTTAACCTATATAATTTTAATATAGACCAATGGAGATTGGAAATTTCTTAATTAACTTAAAAATTTTGTCATATTTTCTAAGTTAAATTATACAAAATGCCATGTACTTTAGCAGGTCCAAAATTTTACATTTAATTTTTTATACAAAATATTTCAGTTAAAAAAAAAAAACTAGAAACGACAAATTAGAGAGGAAACTTTAAAATCTTAATATTCTAATATAATTTTCTCAATCCAAGATGAATTCACATCACATTTTTGCTTAATTTTAATAGAAAAAGTTAACATTAGGATTGTTTTAAAACAATTTTTAAAGTATAAATAAAAATGAAACTTTTGAAATGTCAGAGACATAATTGGAACATACTCAAGTTTAGGGACATTTTGTATGATTTAACCAAAAAAATAATAATGTTTCCTGAAACGCTAATCCATTTCCATATGACAAAAATTGTAATAACTGATTTGGAATTCCAGATTAGGGGGAAGTTCTCAGCCCAGCTCATATCTGAAGTAAATCAGACCAAATTTCTAACAGTAATAGCTTTCAATAAAAAAATGTATTTATCATAAAAACAGAAAATAGAATACAAATAAAGACTATGAAGTAGCTAAAACTCAAGGAAGCAAATCACTACTTCAATCAAATGGAACCCAGAAAGCTCAATGCTTCCAACTCATGGTGCTGCACTAATGCGTCTATAAACTGCCCGAAAAGTCTGTCCCTCATTTCTTGCAACCTTTTGTCCTTCCTCAGTTGCAGAACTTAAAAGCTCGACGGCCGGATCTGCCTCGAGTTCTTCTGCCGTTAGAGCCTCGAACAAGGGGTGGTTCTCTAGACAAGCCTTCATCCACTCTCCAAGCTCTTCCACATCTGTGATTGTGTATATAATTCCTCCAACTCTCAGGGCGAATGCATACTCATCGAGCAGATGTGGACTGATCACACGACGCCGATGATTCTTCTCTTTGAAATGAGGATCCGGGAACAAGAAAAACATTTTCGAAAGTTGCGCCTTTTCGAAGTAGTTTGGGATGTACTTCATGGAATTTGTTCTAACTACCGAGATGTTCTGGTACTGGCCAGGATTTGCTACTCTTAAAGCTAAGATCCGTTCCTTAACATACTCTGTTACTTTATCCCGGAGTTCCATTCCAATCATCAGGGTTTCGGGGAAAAGGTTCGAGAGACTAATCAGAAGACCTCCAAAACCACATCCAATATCTGCAAATTCAACCTTTTTCGATCTATCTGGCTGATCATTTGAAGGGAACCATTGAGGGTAGTGAAGGGAATAGTCAACTTCACTGGGTGAAATTGGTACAGGGAAGTGAGAGTCGCTCAGAGGGTTGCTGTGTGCTCTTGCACGGTAGAAACGCTTCCGAGGCAGGCCTGTTGACTTGCTGATAGTTGGATTTGCATCATGCTCCAACATTTTTAATGCTGTAAGACCACAGGAAAGATATGTTAACGGGGAAATCTGACCTACTAAGAGGGACTTATAAGGAGAAAAAAAAGGTTTAAATCCAAAAGTTTGTAATGGTAATCTCAACGAGCACAGTCAAACAAGTATCTTGAATTGAAATCTAAAGAGAAATTATCTGGTCCCACTAATAATAAAATTCTAGTTGGGTCTGAAAAAAAAAGTGTCAATATAACCAAGGAAAAAGTTCCTGGTAGCACCTGAATGATGCATGAGAAATACAAGTAGAAAAGAAACACAACATTAATTAGCACGGATGTAACAATTGAATGAAATTCAAATAGTCACAAAGAAAACTTAAGTGGGTTCTTGGTAGCACCTGAATGACGCATGAAAAGTACAATTAGAAAAGAAACACAACATTCATTAATACGGATCTATCAATTGAATGAAATTCA